GAGATCCTATTTGTACCCAATCCAAACAAAGGTAACCCAACAGAATGTGGAAAATTTCAAACAATGCATTACTATTACATGTCAGTACAGTTTTGGTGAAGATCATTCAATAACTATTGTAGCAATATATCAACAGAGAACTAGGGATATCACTGCTGATGCCAAATGAATCTTGCCTGAAAGCCAGAAAGATGTTTGTTTGTATTTTTATTGACTAGGTAAAAGCATTCAACGGTGTGGGTCATAACAAACTATGGATAACATCTGAAAAGAATGGGGATCCAGAACACTTAATTATGCTCGTACAGAACCTGGACACGGGCCAAGAAACAGACAGTAGTAGAACAGGACAAGGGAACACTGCACGGTTTAAAATCAGGATGGTAACCAAGCGGCCATCAGGCTCAGAAGCAACAAAGCCCACATGTAAGAAGCACACCAGCCTGTGCAATCACGAGGTGTTGAAGGCATCAGGTATCAGGCATCATCAGAACAAAAAATCTTACCATAGTGAATGATGGGGGGAGGGAGTGCGGAGTGGAGACCCAAAGCCCATTAGTAGGCCACTGGACATCCCCTTGCAGAGGGGCTTTGGGGAGGAGACGAGCCAGTCAGGGGGCGATGTAGTCACGATGAAAAATACAACTTTCCTCTAGTTCCTAAATGTTTCCTCCCCGCTTCCACTATCATGACACAAATTCTACCTTGCAAGTCTGGCTAGACCAGAGGATGTACACTGGTACAGATAGGAACTGGAAACAGGAAATCCAGGGCGGATGAGCCCTACAGGACCAGTGGTGTGAGTGGTGATACTGGGAGGGTACAGGGAGAGTGGGTTGGAGAGAAGGAACCGATTACAAGGAACTATATGTGACTTCCTCTCTGGGGGACAGACAACAGAAAAGTGGGTGAAGGGAGATGTCGGACAGGGCAAGATATGACAAAGTAACAATTTATAAATTATCAAGGCCTCATGAGGGAGAGGGGAATGGGGAGGGAGGGGAAAAATGAGGACCTAATGCCAGGGGCTTAAGTGGAGAGGAAATGTTTTGAGAATGATGAGGGCAATGAATGTACAAATGCGCTTTACACAATTGATGTGTGTATGGATTGTGATAAGAGTTGTATGAGCCCCTAATAAAATGATTTAAAAAAAATCAGGACAGATGTGCATCAGGGCCGTATCCTTTCACCGCACTTATTCAATCTGTGTGCTCAGCAAACCCTCTGGGAAGCTGGACTATATAAGAAGAATGTGGCATCATCATTGGAGGAAGGCTTGTTAACTACCTGCAATATGCAGATGACACAACTTTACTTACTGAGAGCAAGGAGGATTTGAAGCACTTGCTGATGAAAATCAAAGATGGCAGCCTTTGGTATGGATTACAACTCAATGTAAAGAAAATAAAAATGATCACAACAGGACCAACAGGCAACATGATAGACGAAAAAAGATTGAAGTTGTCACGTATTTCATTTTGTTTGCATTCACAATCAGTACTCCCAGAAGCAGCGGTCAAGAAACCAAAGGAAGCACCACACGGGCAAATCTCTGCACAGCATCTCTTTACAGCAGTGGTTCCCAACCCTCCGCATGCCAAGACCCTTTCATACAGGTCGTCGTGTTGTGGTGACCCCCAACCAAAAACTTATTTCTGTTGCTACTTCATCACTGTCATTTTGCTACCGTTATGAATCGGGCGACCCCTGTGAAAGGGCCGTTCGACTCCCAAAGGGGTCGAAACCCACAGATTGAGAACCACTGCTTTAAAGTATTGAAGCGCAAGTATGTCATTCTGAGGACTGCTGTGTACCTGACCCAAGCCATGGTATTTTTAGTCATTTAATAGGCACATGAAAATTGGGCAACAAATCCGGAAGATCAGAGAAGAATCGATGCATTTGAATTATGGTGCTGGTGAAGAACATTGAAAGTACTCGACAGAACAAACAAATCTCTCTTGGAAGAAGTACAGCCAGTGTGCTGCTTGGCGGGGGAGGCTGGCAGACGTCCTCCCGTGCACTCTGGAGACTGGTCCCTGGAAAAGGACCTCATGCTGGGCAACGTGGGAGGTCCATGAAAAAGAGGGTGACACCCAGCAGACTGACACGGTGGCGGCAATGACGGATCTCAAAGGCAACGACTATGTGAAGATGGCACAGGACTGGGCCTTGTTTCCTTTTGTTGCGCACAGGGTCACGAAGGGTCGGCACCAACTTGCTGGTCCATCCCCCACCGCCACCAGCACGCGAGTGCTCACGCGCTTCTCCTGTGTAGACAAAGGTATTTGCCATGGACTGTGTTCAAAGTAAAGCTGTGCCCCTGAAACGGCTGCCTTCAAAGCTCCAAACTTGGAATCAAAAATATCTCCTGAAGCCTTTTTAAAGAGCAAACAAGAGTGTCGCTTAACAGTAAAAAAGTCATCCTTGAGCCTCATGCCCTTGTAAGAACCATCTACAAGGAATCAAATAGCCAACAGCAACTTGGAAGGTTAGCTCGTGGAGGAGGCAGGGAGTTCGTGTTGGGAAGGTTCCAACAGCTGAGAAAAGGAGGCTGCGAGCGGCGACACGGCTTGAAGAACGCAATCAACGTGCTGCACACACGGAACTTACTGGACCGGCAGATGTTTTGCTTGAATACGCTCAACAAGACAAAAACCAGCCAGAAAACCCTCAACAAAACAGTCTAGTGTGGCTTCAGCTGTACACTGGATTCCCAAGGGCTTCAAACAGAGCACTGGGCAGCAGTAAACCACAAACCACCCACGAAAGTAAGTTCCCTGCTTATTCTTCTAAAACCAGGAAGGGTATACTTGCTTTATTTACTGTGGAGATAATTTTATGAATTCAACACACAATAATAAGAATTATAAAATACTCTGAAAAAACAAATAACATTCGAGGAGAAAAAAGTTGATACTGTAATTTTCTCACTTTAAAGCAGTCCTGCCTCACTATTCCTCTGATGTTATGTATAGTCATTGTTTAAAATAAAAACTAAAAAGTGAGCCCTATGCTGTCATATAAAAAACTTGCCATTGAGCCAACCCTGCCTCACAGCGGCCCTGGAGAGCAGGCGGAGCGGCCCTGCAGGCTGCTGCGTCTGTGACCCTTCACGGGAGTAAAAAGCCTTTCTACTCAAGGAGCAGCTGGTAGTTTCGAACTGCGGAGAACTTAGGGCTCCCCAAGAAATGACATCAGTTAGACGGAAACACAGCATCTGAGATCAGCCCCACTCCATTAACAACTCAACGGATTAGAGGAAGTGACTTGTTTCTGACAATTCTCAATCATCGCAATTTTCATATGTAAAACTAAATGGAAAATTTACAGTTCTAGAAAGGATTTTTTCCCTTTATATATACACCTCACTTGTATCTGGCTCCCTTGCTCACCGCCCCCACCCCCACCCGTTTCCTCTTTCTACCCCACCCATTTCTTTTCCATCTCCTTTTCTCCTCCTCTCTAGCTTCCTTCCCTCCCCTCCCGCCACAGTCCCTCTTTCCTGTCCACCTCCCTGCAGCCTCTCCCTCCTCGCGACCCCTTCTACTACTAGGACCAGGCTTTGCCAGTCCTCACATGCCAATCTACCTTTCTTTTGGGCTGGGAGACCATACAAGCAGCAGCCCAATGCACTTCCCCTTCCTGTACCCTTTCTTAATGAACTTGATCAGCCAGTCTCCACAACCAGACACTTCAAAGTCATCACTGACTGTCCCCGCCACTACAACTCTGTCTCCAACACGGTCCTCAGGGATTTACTATCACTTTTCACTTGCTCAACTCAGCGGATCCCCCTGCCTCCAGTATCACTTGCTCTACCTCTGTTCTCCAGCGTGTCTCAGAACCGTCTGTGTGAGTCTGGGTTGACTAGAGAAACAAATTCATAGACACTCGTGTGGGTAAGAGAGAACTTTCTATCAAAGAGCAATTGTACATTAAGAAAACATCCCAGCCCAGTCCAGATCATGTCCGTAAATTCCTCTTCAGACTCACGCAGCCATGCAATGACGATGGATGCAGGAAGATCACAGGCCAGTGGGTGTTAAGTGTTGTGGATCCAGTGGTGGTGGAAGCATCTCAGCGCTGGTACACACATGGCTCTTCCAGTTCCAGGGCTCTGGCTTTATCAGCACAGCTCCATGTGGCTTATCAACAGTAATGTCTCGCAGGGATTCAAAGCAGAGAGAAAGTGTGTATCTGGCCTCCAGTGAGTTATTTATCTCCTTCACGCCTCCAAATGAGGTCATCAAGCTGCGACCTGATTGACAGGCTAGACTCCACCCCTTCGCAAGTTGACAGGAGATTCTGTAACTGCCACAGCATCTCTCTAAAACATTCATATATTATGACATTCCCTTGCTTAAAGATCATTGCTTGCATTCCTCAACACCTAAAGAAGCAACTATAAATTCCTTGATAGGGCATGAAAAGCCTACCATGATTTACAGTCACTGAACTTGAAACTTCCACAATGCACTATACTCTTTTACACCAAACTCACAGGCGCGTCCCTCTACGTTCATTATCAAGTCCTTCCCACAAACTGCTATTGTCTTTATGGCTCACATAAACTTTGTTTCAGCAGAGAAAAGACAATCAGATGGACAGCATCACCTATCTGTCAGTTCGTCACATGGTGGGGGCTTATGTGTCACTGGTATTTCAGGTACAAGCAGGGTCATCCGCAGTAAGCAGGTTCCACCAGAGTTTCTAAGATGAGACAGACTGGGACAATAGGCTTGGCCACCTGTTTACAGAAATGAGCCAGTGAAATCTGCATGGATCACAACAGGGGAGCAGTTCTGAAAGATGCGTCCCCAGGTTGGAAGGCACTCAGAACGCAGTGGCTCTAAGCAACCAGCAGGAGGCACACGGCCAGGCAACGTGTCTTCCTGTTGTACACGGGTTCTACACGGGCTGCCCTGCGTCACAGCCACGTGGGGGCGACTAGCAATCGTCACGAAGAGTCACTCCAACTAGAATGTTCAACTTACTTTTGTGGAGTCAAAGGAGGCAAACCCCATTAGCTTCATCATTTCTATTTCTTCCTCTGTTTTGCCTTCTAAGTCCTCCTCTGCAAACATACGAGAGATGATATTTTAAGATGCTTAAAACTTTAGATAAATAAAATAAGAGGTAGCAAAAGATAGTCATTCTACATCCCCAGCAGAGAACAACCAAAGCAATTAGCTAAAGACCCAATTCGACTGAAAACTTCCTCTTCAACTTAAATAGACTGTGACTTAGGCTACAAGGAAGGAGCTGCATTCTCTATTCTCCTCCTAGTACAGCAGTTCTCAACCTGTGGGTCTCGACCCCTTTGGGGGTCAAACGACCTTTCACAGGGGTCGCCCAATTCATAACAGTAGCAAAATGACAGTGATGAAGTAGCAATGAAAATAATTTTATGGCTGGGGGTCACCACCACCTGAGGAGCTGTAGGAAAGGGTTGCGGCCTGAAGAAGGTGGAGACTGCTTGAAAGGGCATGCTTGAAGCCTTCAGACAAGACCATCCTAAGTATCAGCTATGACAGTATCTAATTATGAATACATTGCCAAAATACCCTATTATTCTCTTCCTATATCATATGCGTAGCCACAATGATAACCAGAAATCTCCAGAGGTATAAATCTCAAACCCATATGCAAACACTATAAAAAGCTTCATGTTTACCTTACACTTTACAATTTCATCTCACTGGAGCTATTTAAGCAGACTGCACTTTCCCAGCATCTAATAGTATTACCAGTGATCTGACGTTCTTTGTTCTTTGCTTCTTTTGTTTCTTTCTTGTCCTCATCTCTTCTTTCTTTCAGTCGAGAAGGGGAAGGGGATGTAGATCTGTGTCGTCTGGGCGATCTAATTTCATAAATCAAGATGTTAGAAACAGACACACAAGGAGACTTTGAGCAGATAAGCACCTGAAATGAAGCCAGGTTTCAGAGGTCCAGAGTCCGTTCCTGGGCAAAAGAGGGAGAGGTTCTACTAGGGCCCACTGGTTAACACAGAGCAGAAAATACCACTTATGCTGACCACCTGTTTCATGTAGGACACAGAAAAACCTGAAACTACGGTTACTGAGTCACCGCTGACCTGGAGCCACCCTTTATAGGGCCTCTGACACGGTCAGCCTTCCTATGGGAATAGACAGCCTCATCTTTCTCCTGTGAAGCTGCTGGTGGTTTTGAACTTCTGACTATGCAGTTATCAGCCCAACACTTACCCCACAGTGCCACCAGAGTTCTTTTCCATTTGGTATAAAACCCAAACCCATGGCCTTCAAATTGATTGCAACCCATAGTGAGCCTATATATGCTTTCCAAAGCTGTCAATCTTTATGGGGACAGCCTCACCTTTCCCCTCTCAAGCGGCTTAGGAACCCATTGCCTAGCCCACAACTCTACCAGAGCTCATTTGGTTTAGCTAGAGAGAGAGAGAGACAGAGAGACAGAGAGACAGAGAGACAGACAGACACATACACACGTCTAGATAAATCGTTAGATAGCAGAAAGCTTTACTAGATTTTTGTTGTTACTGAGAAATCTACAACAAAAAGATATACCTAATTCAACTCAGCAACACTGATGGCATTTTTCGGGTGGTACAACCACCCCCACCTTCATTCTCTGAGCTGTTCTTCTCTGTTAATATAAACTCCCTGTCCCCTAAGGTTCCCCTCTAACCTTTCAAGTTGATGTTGTCAATTCGATCCCATATAGTTCTTAAAAGATCATAATGCCCATGGTAGACTTTACTAGTGAATAAAAATTGTTTCTTTTTTATTTTAATTAATAAATCATTTTAATGGGTGCTCTTACAGCTCTTATAATAATCCATACAT